AGCATGCCTTCCAGGAGAATCTGCTCCAAGATTTTGCCAGGTGCAGGGGTGAGACTGACTGGTCTGTAATTCCCCAGGTCATCCATTTTCCTCTTCTTGAAAATGGGGGTTATATTTCCTTTTTTCCAGTCATCAGGAACTTCACCTGACTGCCACAATTTCTCAAATATGATGGCCAGCGGCTTCGCAACTTCATTCACCAGCTCCTTCAGGACCTGCGGATGGATTTCATCAGGTCCCGTGGACTTGTACATGTTCAGGATCTTAAGATGGTCTCAAACCAGATCCTCCCCTACAGTGGGCGTAAAGTCTTCACTCTCACAGGATGGGCCTGAAAGCTGAGCAAAGAAGTCCACTGCTGACTTTTTAATTGGAAATGTATTCAGCCCCAGAAGTGTTGGTAGCTTTTTGCAGGCTGGGAAAAAGAGGATATGTACAAGTGGACAGCAGAACACATGAAGAAAAAAAAAATGGATCTCCATGACTCTGCCTGTATAATCCAGTTTAATATCATCTTGCAAAAGTTGATTTTATTCCAGGACTATGTAAACCCACTTTGGTTTTGTATTTTCTAATGCTGCAAGCTAAAGGGAGTCCTTTAGCTATTTAAAATTCTAATCTGCATTTAGTAAAAGCAACATCCTCTAAGGGATGATTTTGACTGCCTTGTTTATTTAATAGGTATTTTTTTGCTCCTAGGAACTTACAGTTAGTGTTGAAATGTAAAACCAGACACAGTGTTCCAGCAGCAAATACAATTCTTGTGTTCTATTTTCTCTAGCCTGCCTTCTTGAGCTCTGCCATCTACAGTGCTTGCATGATAAGCAGAAATGATCTCCTTCAATAAGTGAATGAGGAAGAAATAATCAATTCTGGACTAATTACATGTCTTAGGTCTGGTTGGGAAGATTGTTCTTGTCAACCCTGCAGTTGTATTCGTTCTTACTTAAGCTGTCTGATGAGCCTTTTATCCGAGTACACCTTCCAATCCCTTTAACACCAGACAACCCTCTTCTTTCTTCACAGGTATGATGAGGTTCTGTATCAGTCTTCTCAGGATCTGCAACCCAAGCACATCGTCAGCTACCTCCTCACACTTAGGTAAGGTGATTGCTGATACTGGCCATCTATCTCTGGTAAGGACAGGTGTTCCTGAGCTGGCTCTGCAACCCTCACATCTGCAGTGCTTTGAAGAGCAAAAGCAGCGGGAAGATGTAAATCTGTAGGACAGCTTCTCTGGAGCAGGTAAGGTATGAAGTAGGATAGCAAATAATGTAACAGAGATTGAGGCTGGAAGCAGGAACAAAGGAGGCAGAAACTAAATGCTTTCAACAAAAAAGGATAGCATTGCTGTAACTCACTGTCTGAACCCAGAATCACAATGGACTAATCCTGTCTTAAAAAGCAGATTTGAGTGATAATAATGCTCTCAAAGCTCAAAATTTCAGCTAGGAAATTCTGTCCAAACCCCTTTAACCACTGATCTCAGCCTATGTGTTGAGATGGACAAAGCATACTACTGTAAGTTATACAGCATATAACTTACCTCCATAGGGACCTGTCTCTTTTAACAGCATTATGAAACACTGGAGAAGACCTGGAACAAGTGGTAGGCATGTGTATGGGGACAGGCTTAATGAATTAAGGAAAATTGCATAAGGAATCTCACACCTTGGGAATGACAGGGCATGCTTTTGAATATCTTTCCAGACCAGTTTGGGTTTTTGTGTGGGTGTGGTTGGTTGGTTTTTGTTTTGGTTTGGGGTTTGTTTTTTTTTGGGGGGTGAAGGTGTCAGGGGTAGATCGTTTTGGGGTTCTTTTACAAGCGTGAAGGTGTTGATGGCATGCCCTGATAATATGCAGACTACAGAAAACCGTGCCCTCCTTCAGCCAGGTGGAGATAAGTCTCTGGCCTGCTGCAGTTGTGGCTCTTCCAGTTCTGCAGCTTTTTGTAGCCCATAGCACTCCTCTTGTCAAGAGACTTGCTTGTTCTCAGCATTCTCCTTGTGTTTTCTATTTCAGCCATCTTGCAGCTGTGGCACATAAAACCCTTCCTGTGAAAGGCAGCGCCCCTAAAGTAGCACAGGTATGGCACAGCACGGGGCTGTTATGTGGCTGGGGTCTGAGTAGGGTGTCCCTACCAAGATGAATGCTCCCTTGGGCATTGCCAGCCTAGCTGTGTAACCAGTGGGGTGAATGCACACCTGCAGGCTAATCATCCAGCAGGCAGGCTCTCCTTTGGGAAGGCAGGGACTGCTGTCACTGCGGGGTCTGTTCTGCCTGATCTTCCCAAAACACAAATCTCCATAAGGACAACTGCTCAAAACCCAGTCAGAAGTAAACATGTGAGCAAGTTAACTCACTGGTGAATTTCTGATGGTTTCCTTTAGTGGTTGTGTGGGAAGACAAGAGAATGAGGAGAAAACTGACTCAGTCTCCTCCCTCTTGCCACCTACATATCCCAAGTATTGGAGTTCCAGGTAAAGCAGAGCCTGACAGCTGTTACTCTGCAGTTCCAAGTATATAAAAATCATTTTCTACTCATCTCCCAGGCAATGTTTGACCCCCTAACAGCTCAGTAAATGATATACTAATTACACTGCCTCTTTAATCTATTTCAAAAGCAAGTATGTTTCTGATTTTGGTAGAAAATCACATTTAAGTGTTGAGCTGTGTGGTGGGGGGAAAAACTTCAGTTTTTCAGTTCAGTGGAATTGATGGAGCTGTGCTCTGTATTTGCGCTTAGATGCTGTAGGTATTCCTGCCTTTGAAGACAGACTAAGCCAGTCCAAGCTACAAGGAAAATTTCAGTGCCTTATCCTGTAAAAAAATTGTAAACATCTTACAGTGTGACAGCTTTCAAGAACTGTTTTTCTGAAGCAGGGTTGATGGAGCCTTTCCCAAACAGCCAGCTGTGTAACAGCTAAGGCAGACATTGATAAGGAAGAGTGAAATTTTCAAAGCAGCTCACAGTTGCTTGACAGCCTCTAACCCAAGCACAGTGAGCAGAGGTTTTCCAGCAGTATTTGCAGGCTGTAACAGCTACTGGGGCAAGAAAGGTTTTCCCTCTCTAGTCATTGCTAGCTCTTCTGCAGGCAGGTCCTCTGGTTACCTTGCCCTGAGGGTACAGGGCTGGGCAGAATGCTGCTTTTCAGCTTCCTTTCAAAAGCAGCCCCTGACAAAAGTGTCCCTTTGTTGACCCTGCAATGGGCTATCAACAGCACGTATGAATTCTGCCAGTATTGGTGTGTTACTAGATCATGTGTAGGTCCAACTCCCAGTGCTCTGCATGGGTACAGAAGGATGCAAACAAACGATGTTCTCACCTCTGACAGGCTGCTCCTAACTACTGTCCTGAGAAGCACATTCTGTTCTGCGCAATACTGTAAGCTGATGGCTCTTCTTGTTTTCCAGGCAAGGTGCTGTCTCTTTCAAGCTGCTCGCTCAGTTCTAGCCAATGGGATGAAACTTCTTGGCATCACACCTGTAACTCAAATGTAATGAGGCTGTATGCGATGTAAAGTCACATCTCTCAGTAAAAGGTTTTTTTTAAGATAGTATAAATACTCTCCTGTGTGTCCCTGCTAATGCAGTCTGGAACCTCTGTCCCTGTTCTTGAAGGTTTATATGCTCCATCACACTGACTGCCATGTAGGGGAGCACAGTCACCTTCTCCCAGGCACTTGGTAGATGTAGTGTACTTAAGACATTCGTCTATGTGGTCTTTCCCATAAAAGAGAACTGCTCTCTATTTGCCATGCAAATATAACAGCCTTTTGGTGGAGGAAGTGGTGTTAAGTGTGCTGCCCTGAGTGATCAAAGTTCTCCCCTTTTGCAGTTGCCATTGTGTACTTAGGCCTAGTAGTACATCAGCTGCAGGTGCTCTGTATATTGGAACAAACTGAGTCAGATCAGGCCAGAGACTTATTCCGTGCGTGTTGTACTGCACTCTCCATTCTGTAACTTTAGCCAAGCCCAACTGCCAGCTGTCACCTCCTGTTCCTCACCTCTCCCTGTGTCACTGACCTGACAACAGGGAAGAAGAGGATTTGCTGCCCAACTGGTGGAACAGGACCTGCCATGTTCCCTCAGCTCTGTACAAGCAGTCAGACGTGGCACACAGAGCCATCACATCACTGAACACAGGTGGGAAATTACATGTGAGGTAGTGCAAGTGAGTGACAATATCTCCACCACCACAGCCTTCACTCATCAGAGCAGCATGAGGGTGGCACACTGTTCTAGCTGCACAGTTGGCAAAAGGCAGAGAGGAGTGTCCTCTCCCACTGCAACAGCATTTGGTTTTGCTGTGCTTAACGTACCCTACTTTCAAGTAAAATCCAGATGGTTAATACATGTCTGAAAGAATCTAACCAGGATATGAACTAGGTCATGTTTCTGATTCCACTTTGAAGGGGGATAAGTTGCCTAAATTACACCAGTTAATTTTTCCCTCAGTGCAGAGTTGCAGTTTCTGTAAGGGCTGAACTAAATGAGGCCTCAGAAAATGAGGGAGGAGGTTGAAATTACACAGTTGGCACTCCTACATTAAATCAAAGCCTAACATTCATTACAGGAAGTCCTTTCAAGCATCACTTGCTATGCACAAAGAGGTTTAGAGAGAAAGTGTATAGATAAAAATCTCATCTGACAATGAGTAGACTCATTTGTACTTAAGCCAGAGATACAAGAACACACATGAACCTTCCCCTGTACAACTGGGGCCTGACAAAACGCACAGAAGAGAAAATGCCTCTGCCAGCTACAGCAGGTATAAAAAACATTTGAAAAGTCTAAGAAAATCTAGAACTTAAGAAAAGCACCAGTCTTTCATTCTGGCTTTTTAAACCAAACAGCAAGCGCTGCTTCTAATCACTTCAAGATAAGTAAGTGATGCCTGAAGGAAGCATGGTTATTCCTGGTGTAGTTGGGTCATCTTGTATGTATCACCCAGAAGAGACACTTCTCCTGTTGTTAATCAAACTGCAACTGCCAACTAGTTTAAGAGAAAATGCTGGCAGTGATTGCTCTTTTTAATAGATTTTTATGAAGCTTTTGGGCATTTCTGCCCTCAAAGGGCAAGGAAGTTTATCAAATACACAAAGAACCAATTTCCTTCTATTATATACATTATATACAATTGCGTATTCAGTTCCTTCATTCTACTTTCCTTGTAAACGGGCTTTCCAGTTCGCTGTGAGTGAAGAATGTCTTCAGTAAAACACCCATCCAGCTCCTCGGCTGTGATGTAGCCTTAGTGTCAGCCACTGGAAATTCCCCATGTAAAACAGAATTAACTTCTGCTTTCAGTCTATCCCACTTCAACCATTCCATGACTAGCTTAAGGCTAATTTAAAAAAAATGCAGGTTTTTAAGTCCAATTTTTCCCTCATGCCTGCATGTCCATTTCTATGGACAACGTCACACAGTAGCAAGCCTCTCTTTTGAATTCTTTGTCTCTGATGGCTGGATTTTTGTGGTGTCTTGTCGAGGTAATCCATAGAGGTAAATAGAAACACACACCAGGAGAGCACCCAGGAAGAAGGTAACAGCTGGAAGGAGACAAAACAGTTTAAATAAACACTTCTGTATAAGAAGAAACCTTCAGAAGATTAAGCTATATAAACAGGACAATGAGTTGTTAATAATTCACAGAACCTAGATCATCCTCTGTCACTGAGGACTCTAGCATTTGCTCAGTCCCCACACTTTCAATTAGTCTTGTATCAGCAAGAACATGGTGGTCGTCAAAAAAGCAAGTGTGAAACATTTCCTGCACTTCCAGATGCCATCCAGAAGGCTTACATTTCAATAAACTTAATCATAGAGAGACAGTGGGTGTGATAAAGCGTGCGATAACACACCGTTTGTCTTTCCACATCTAGACAGGATTAAGAAACACTATTAATGACACTTTCTTAGAAAGATCACCAGTCCCATCTTTGGATTATCGCAGGAAAGCGGAACACACCCAAACCTAAAGAGCAAAGGCCTGAGCAGGAGCTACTAGGTATAGTATCAGACGCAGATTTGATCAGAGAGAAAATTATTTGTGGTTGCAGAGCAGCCGAGAGCAATTTGCTCTTTACTCTCAGAAATATTCACCACATATCAGTCACGCCCCCAGCTCCTCTTTGACTTGCTCTCATGTGGTGGTGTCCACAGCAAATGGGGAAGGCAGAAGTTAATGCAGTAGCAGGTATAACTTAACAGTGATGTGTAAAGCCCTTGCAAGCCAAGGAACTAAACTGGCACTGGCTGTACTAAAACCAACAAGAAATGATACCTTATCAACAGCAGTCTTGGATAAGCAGCTGTATCACACACTAAACTGCATCAGAAAGTGATTCATGAGTAAAGCCAACATGGCTTTGCTAAGGGCAAATCCTGCCTGACAAATCTGGTGGCCTTCTGCAGTGGGGCTAGGCATTGGTGGATAAGGGAAAAGCAGCTGACATCATCTACCTGGATTTGGGAAAAGCATTTGACACTGTCGTGCATGACACCCTTGTCTCTAGCATAGATTTGATGGGTGGACCACTCCGTGGGTAAGGAATTGGCTGGATGGTCACACTCAAAATGCTGTGGTCAGTGGCTCAATGTACATCATAAGAAGGATGTGGACCTGTTGGTGTGAATGCAGAGAAGGACCACGAAGATGATCAGAGGGCTGAAGCACCTCTCCTATAGAGACAGGCTGAGAGATTTGGGCTTGTTCAGCCTGGAGAAGGTAACGCTCCAGGGAGAACTTATAGCAGCTTCCAGTGCTTAAAGGGGCCTACAAGAAAGCTGGAGAGGGCCTTTTTACAGGGACATGTAGTGACAGGACAAAGGGTAATGGCTTTAAACTGAAAAAGGGTAGATACAGATTAGATACAAGGAATAAAGTCTTCACTATGAGGGTGGTGAGGTACAGGCACAGGTTGCCCAGCGAAGCTGTGGCTGCCCCATCCCTGGAAGTGTTCAAGGCCAAGTTAGATGGGGCTTTGGGCAACCTGGTCTAGTGGAAGGTGTCCCTGCCCATGGCAGGGAGGTTGGAACTGGACGATCTTTAAGGTCCATTCCATTCCAACCCAAACCATTCTATGATAAAGCTGTATGAACTCATAAGCTGTTTAAAACACAAAGAACCTTTCCTTTTGAGGTTGTAGGATGCCTCTAAAAGAGCAAACCATAAATGCCTCTGAAAGCACAGTATCATCAGGCACCTTATGCAATACACTAGTGCACAGAAGTCCTGGAGAAGACAAAGTTAAAACCAGAAAAATACAAAGGAGATGCAAAAGACTGCTTTGGTATGAATGGCATACAGCCCGCTACCAAGCAGCCTGCTGGTCAGGAAGGAAACACACCTAGTTACATCAAAGGCAAAAAGGCACTTACTTATCTGGAGGCCAAAGAGAGCGACTGATGCCACAGTTGAAAGAACAATGGCTGCTGCAGCAGAAAAGCCTTTCATAATGTTATCTGTGTACTTAACAACCACCGAGGTGTAGAGGCCACCTACACTGGCAAGAACTGGAAAGCAGATAAACAGTTTTCTGTTAGTAAAGGTGCAATAGGTTACTCTCCAAATGATGCATTTTACTCCAGTGGTGTACTCCTTGTTTAGGCTATGTCGACCTAATTGATGATTTAATGCAACATTCAGCAAAATGGGATGTCTGCATGGCATCTAGTAGCTCAGATACAACTAATTTAAAGATGATCAACCCACTACTGTTACTTAGACTGCTGCTTCAGCACAATTTTAAATTGGACAAGTGAATAATTTCCAAGAAAATGATACTTTTAAATAAAATCCTTCAAAGCACATTACAAAAAAGTGCATCAGATTGGATTTGTAGCTTTGTGCAATCAGTTATATCATAGTTAAAAAAAGCAAAACAATGTAACAAGATCCTAAAACCACAAGATACTTACAGATGACAAACCAGACGTAGCATGTATAGCCATAGAAAAACCCTTTCTCAAGGACTTGGGCTCCGTCTGACATGTACACACCAAATAAAGTCACCACAATCCCGGATAAGTACATCTGAATATTCCTCACCCACAAGGAAGTATCTGAACTCTTCAAGACCTTCTCAAAATAGACTCCTAAAAAGAAAAGAAAAAAAACAGGGTTTCAGTGAGATGAAGTGTCGTTCTTCGAACACTGTGAACCATGAACCATTGGTTCCACTGCAATCATCTTGTCCTACACACTGTTCAAAATGCCAAGGACTCAACACCACATCCTGCCAACGTATGTCTTCCACAACAGGATTTTAATGGGTATGGAATGTCAAAAATAGATTCTATTTCTCTTTACAGTTGTTGTAACAAATCATTGACAATTGAAACTACTCCTCATTTCTGTTTGATTTGCCAGGTTTCTGTCCAGCAGTTTCTTCTGTACAGTTCTACACCAAGAAAAAAAACCAAACCTTTCACCCTGGCACCTGGTATTTTATTGCCCGGGCAGTATTTACGTATTTCAGTATGATGGAGAACAACTTTTTTCCCCTCCATTGGGATTCTTAGCAGTAAAAAACTGAAAACAGGGGTGGGACTGTATTAGCTCAGTACTGAGACTGAGAATTCCTCAGAAGCCTTGTGCTTGCAAAGTGCTTGGCAGAGCAGCCACATTCTGAAACCACAGCTTCAGGGGATTACAAGAGCAAATCAAAACTGACGCTTCCTGATAACTGAAACTACAGATTGGTTTTGAGGAAATGGAATTCATTTTAATCTAAAGCCCTTGTTCACAATGCCACACTGCTCAGCATTACTTTTATGCTCTGCCTCAATGAAATTCCCCAAATACCTTTTCATGACTCTACTTGGGAGGTGTACGTCAGGCTAAAAGGCTGACATTTGACAAGGCCATCACTACCTGCCTTTTTAACCACTGCTCCCACACCAGGATTCTGCTTATCTGTGGAATTTCCTCAGGATTTCAAAACACAGACAGCAGTTTGCTGGACTTAGACCGTCTCAGCCACTTCCACAACTTTCTGGTGTGAGCCCTCCTGAGTAATTATTGCTGATTAATGTCACCCAAGAGCCTTCATAATCATATCAGAACAGTATATAGAACTGACAAAGATGGCAGAAAGAAAAGATCTGTGAGTCAGAAGCCCTAAGCACACATCCCAAAATCCCCGAGGTAGCTTCAAGGAAGGTCTTGCTATATTTTTATTCATGAAAAATGCAATTTATAATTTAATACAGTATGGGGAATAAATCAGAGAACAGATTTATATTTCAGGGGTACAAATAATAAAAAAAAACCACCAAGGAAACATGATATTATTCTCATATGAATACAGATTTCTGGAGGCCTTGGGTGATATGATTTAGCATTAGGTGTCCCTGCCCACAGCAGGGGGGTTGGAACTAGATGATCTTAAGGTCCTTTCCAACCCTAACGATTCTATGATTCTAAGTCTAACATCAACAAAACCCCAGCATCCTTATCAACTGCAGTGCTTAAAAGAACCCAGAAGAATCTACCTTGAGATTTCTGCCAGCTGAGAAGGCCCACAAAGCACACACAGACATAATCAGGTACCAGAGATTTGGCTTGAGTATCAACCATACTTGTAAATTTTATAAACTAAGGCAAGGGTAAGCAAAGCAATGGAACTATGCTTTCAGATGTCTGAAAATGCATGAAAATCACCACTAGGCAAGATGAAGGAAGGAATGGGTGCTGTTTAGGAGAAATTACTCTTCAGTACTGTTTCAAGTTACAAGGGATCTGCATTATATATTTGTCGAATGCTTTTATAAGCATTGCTGGTCTGCCGGATGCTTGGAAATTATCACAGGATAGGTGGTTTGAAGAAAAAACTTATTTTCTGTCTCTGAGGGACAAAAACCACATAACTTTGTTGACTTTGCTGGAATAATATAAACCACTTAGCATGGTCAGTCCAGAAACTGAAGGTTCAGTGCCAAAATGGCTTCTTCATGTCTGTGTGGGAAGGAAGTAGAGGAAAGGAGTTTGAACAGTATTTATGTTTTCAACATGTAAAGCCCCAAGGGCACGAGGAGCTCCATAGAAGAAATGCTCTGTCCTCCCAGCTGCCTCAAAGCTACAGCTGTTGGTGAGGAAACACCCAAGCTGCAATCCTGTGGGAGAAGAATGCTGTATGTGTCTAAATCCTCTAAAGCTGCCTGCATCAGCTCTTTTGATGGTCTGAATTTGCAGACCTTTAGAAGAAAAGCTGTCTGCCATTTCACTGGGAAGACGCCGAAGAAAAGCGACACACTTCTCCTTTCCTCCCCTGTCAACCAGAATGTTTTCCACAAGTAATGACCGTGTATGCACAGCACAAGATTGGTTTTGCATGATTGTACAGTACTAGAGGTGAGTGACAGTACCTTGTGACAGTACCTTGTTTTTCTTACAGAAGGAGGGGAAAGAATCCAGTTCACAGACAGATAAATATGCCCCTGTGAGCCAGTTTTCAAATAAGAAGTAATTTGCATTTCCTTGTTTCTCAGCACCAGCTCACTTGTCCTGAAGTTCTCGTCTCCTTCTGCAGAAGCCAGAGAACTACCCTGAGGGGAAATGCTGGCTGTAGAACAAAACCAAACCAGACCTCCTTCATGTGGTCTATCTAGGCTTCTTGCTACTCATCTTCCTCTCTGCCCTTCTCATGCTGCCTCTGCATCTCAGTTAGATATACTACCTATAGGACCATGGCAAAATGTATTCCGGGGCTGAGCTAAGTGCAAGAACAGAGCAAGAAGCCCCACTATTCCCTGTATAAAAGAATGCAGCTATTTTGTGTGATCCCCATAAGGCAGCTATTCACTGTAAAGCCCAATCTATAAAACTGATGTACATTAATTAATTGTACCAAGTCATTACAGATGTTCCCTACAGTATTATTCTAACCATTTGAAAGATGCTTCCACATGCAAACCAGCCTTCTAAGCTGCATCACATAAAACCAATAGTACATGCTCCTAGTCATTTGCTTGACATGAGTGATCATGTCATGAATCTGCCGTAATTACTGCAAGTAGAAGGTAGTTATGAGTAGATGGTGTAAAGTAATTTTTTATCTTTTAATCAACAAAGGCAGCTAACTAATGTAGAAAGTTCTGGTTTAAACATCATGAGTGCAGTCCTTTGAATGTGCCCTGCATACAGAAATAATACTATACCTGCAAATCCTGAACACAATACAGCAACAGCAATGGCTCCAAACCCTAGCCATGGATTCTGCTCCACCTGCATGCAACATCAACCGTTATTTTAAAAAGGACACAACATTTCAGTAATTTACAGTAATTAATTCCAGAGCTCCTTTGTTCAGTACAGCAAAATGATTAGCATTTCATTACAATGTAAAATGTACTTGCTTAGCTAGAGCTGTCCTTTGGATTAGCCTGGGATAGCTGTGTGAGGTTTCATTGCCCATGTGTACCCTTACCAACCCCTGCCATGCACAGAGCACTGTCTCCTTGGAGGTGGGTGTTCCTCCCAGCTGCTGGACCTGCCCTTCCCACTAATGCCACTGACCTGTTGCTTACGTCTCAGCTGCTGAAGACACTTGTTTCTTCCTCGAACAGGATTAGGTCAGTGCCTCTGAAGGGTGTGTTTAAATGACATACCCACACCCACCAGGCACTGGAGTTTCCCTCCTGATTTTGCCAAGTGCTTTGATTCAAGTTCTCTGCTCCAACAGCTGCAATTGATACCAGGGCCAACTGCTGGAAACACTACTCAGATACCCCTATGATGGTGCATTAGGCTGCTTATGATGACTGTAGTAATTTATACTAATTGTAGCAATCAGTTGCCTTTCCAACCAGCACGACTGGAGCAATACCACAAGCCTGCCTCAACTGGTATGCAATAAATGTGAAAAAGAATGAGCAGACTGGTGGTTATGTTGTAGATGAAGTGGCTGGAAATAAGAAACAGACACTGCTCTGTGGGATATAATAAACTTCACTGTAATCCCAGCTGCTGTGAAGTGAAATACAAAGTATAATGCAGTATATTCTTCATTGTGAAGTGGCAAAATATAAACTCTTACCTGTACTTTCGTAGCCTGAGCAGGCTTCCACTGAACAAGGGTAACACCACCGCACAGCATGAAGACAGAGAACCACTGCAGCTTACTAAGGGTACGGTTTAGCATTAGGACTGTACATAAAGCTGTACAAGGGATCTTCAACTGGTATGTCACCTAAGGTGGGAATATAGTTTAGAGGATGTGGTTTTATAAACTCCTCCAAACCAAGAAAACAAAATAGAGAATTCAACTACAGAATGACAAATACAATTTCATACTGACTTCCTACTGATCCCTTGGGTTTGGTATCATTGCCAATTACAATAAAGTGAATTTGAAGCGACTCCAGCAGTGAGTGGGTTAGCTGAGCAGAGCTCTAAAACAGACAGCTCTAAAACAGAGTGTATGCTCCGAATATAACAAAGCATCATCTGGCTTTTAACACTGAGGTTAAAGAGAGTACCACATGGTAGGCAGACAAATACCTAGCACACATGCCTCATGAAACAGGAAACATATTTACAGACCAGTTACTGACAAAAACATGTATTACCTGGTAGACTGCTGCATCCAAGTTGCTAAGAGCCACAAACGCCATATTGTTTTGGAGACCATATACCAAAGATGGAACACTTAATTTTAGCAGTTCTGTAGGACTTCCAAATACATTTTCTTTTAAAGATGTTATTAACCTTGCCAGACTTCCAGTTTCTCTGCAAAATAAAGTATAACAGAGGGTTCTCTTAAACTGATATTTGTTAACAGAAATCAAATCACTGAGTCCTATGGGAAGGCTGAAAGTTTGTTCTCAACAATCAGTTGTACCCTCTGCTTATTAAAGATATATTAAAACAGTGAGGTTATCAACAAGTAGAAACCCCTGAAGGTGAGGAAGGCATTCTGGAATGAGGAGGTTAGATGCATTAATGTGTAGTAAAGTAAACAACAACCATGAACACTGTAAACAGTGGAATAAGTCACTAAGCATACAGGCAGTGGGACAGAAGGCTGTTGTTTTCCCTCCACCCTTTTTTGTGGGGATATTAATATTTGTGTGTGATGTCAAATGCCTGTGCTTTTCCAGTTCTCCTTTAAACTGGGCTTCACAGCACAGACAAAAAAGATTGTACCCTTGCACACTACTGAGCTGGAAACACCTTTCATTCCTCAGCCAGCCCTGTTTTCCTCTTCTCTCTTGTGCTGCAGGAGATGCTGGACCAGCACCAGCCCACATCTGAAGAGGTCTGGCAGAGTGTGCGGCAGCTCCCTGTCACCTTGCACCTTCACACATCTCCCACATGCAATTACAGCATGTGAAACAGCAGGCAGTGGGGAAGAACATGCTGCTATTTGCTTCTGTCCCTTTTTGCAGCTTGCTCCTCAGCTTATTAAAGCTGACCTTTGCACTGTTCACCCTTGTCACTGGCACATCAATCTGACATTCTTGCTTACTTGTCACTGCCACTAAAGACCTCCAGTTCCCTTCCCAGCTCTCCCCAAGTTCCATGTTCCCCCTTTGCATTCCTCTCTTGCTTGGTCACTGACTAATACCAACATCCTGTCCCCTCCCACAGGCCTCTCAACGTGCAATCTGTATTGTCTTTGAATTCAACACTCCTTTTGCTTCCATTACACATGCATATGAACAAATGGCTCATCCTCTTCTGCATTCCAGAAGCCCAGTTCCCCACATTTCAACCATAACTCAGCTTCTTTCTTTTTCACAAATGTGTCATCTACCTGCCCCAAACTCTTATAAATAATTACCAAAATTAGCCATCTCTCTATGCCCCAGGCTCCTTCACTAACCACCTTGTTCCTGCATATTTTCTGTTCCTGTAACTCTGTGCTCCAGGTTCTTAAAACTTTTTCTCTACAAAGATTTAGGTACTCTACCCTCTCATGACCCTTTCACCAAGTTTCTCTCCTAGAGATGTACAAGAAAAGCAAGAGTCCCTGGTGATACCAAAGTGCAGCTGGACTGAAGTGCTTCTATCTGAAATATATAACTGCAAATAACATGTAATTATCAGAGATATAGGTCTACTCTGTGAGACTAAGAAGTTAAAAAATACCACACAGTAATGGCTTCTTCTATTTGCTGATACTAAGGGAGACTGTTAAACAAGAAAATAATATTTAAACTATACCTGCTTCTGTTCAGACCATGCTCAGTGAATTAGCTGATTTAAAGTCAAAGTCACAGCAGAAACAGTAGTGTCTGTCTACTTTGACTTCCAGCAAGGAATTTCATCAATGAAGAATAACAGGTGTCCAGTAAGCACCATTTTCACTTAAGGTTTTGAGAGCAAGAAGATTAACTAGTTCATCTTTGCAGTGGGTGTGCTTTCTGAAGCATGCACTTATCAAGAGTCTCTTGATATAAGTATATCTTAAGTATAAAGATCATGTGGAGCCAGATATAAATCTACACAAAAAAAGAATTTAAAACAAGCCTCTGTGAACAAATGAAAATTAAAATAAGGTGTCCAAAGATTACATTGCAAAATCAAATAAGAAAATAAAAAAGCTAGCTTGAATTGAGTGTTTCTGATGGTGATCTAGATTCAACTTAAAAAACATACTCTATTTTCTTCATAGGTCTGAATGAGTGAGAGATACTAATAACAATCAGTTCTGCAACAGAAACATTCATTCATTAGAAAAGCTGAAGTTAAAACTAGAGTTTGCAAATCTCCTTTACTTTTCTTCACCCATTGCTAATTATGTACCATCTAAGAATGTCGACAATGTAATTACCAGATGGTGAATTGGACTTCAAATAAATATGAGAAGTTGAGAGTACAGTTGAGTAAACAATTAACACAGTTTAAACTATCATAAACACCTCTTTTAAAAGAAATCTTTTGGCATTCATCCATTCAATGTGCCTTCCAGGAGAAACCTTAAAAGTAAACACAGTGGAGTAAGAATGTAAGAAAACAAATTCTGCAGGCGGAACAAGATGAGAGTCATACCCCAGTATCCTGTATGTAGCATTATCAGTGCTGGCTGGTTCAAAAAGGAAAAGGTACCCACCCAAATGTATCCCTCTGTACAGAAAAAACGGATCATATATGTCATGGTTTAAACCCAGTCAGGTAACTCGTTCACTCACTCCCCCCCTTCTTTCCATCCCCCTACTCCTGGGGGGACGGAGAGGAGAATCGAAAAGAATGCAACTCCCACAGGTTGAGATAAGAACAGTTTAGTAACTAAGGTATAACACAAATCACTGCTGCTACCACCAATAACAACGATAAAGGAAATAACAAGGGAAGAGAATACAACATCTCACCACCAGCCGACCGATAACTTGCCCCCCCCCCAGCCTGACCAAGCACCAACCCATACCTACTCCAACCCTGCAGTCCCAGCCCTTCCGGCTAACTCTCAGTTACATCCTGGGCATGACGTGCTGTGGTATGGAATACCTCTTTGGCTAGCTTGGGTCAGGTGTCCTGTCTCTGCTTCCTCCTGGCTTCCCCTCCTCCCTGGCAGAGCATGAGGCTCACAAAGTCCTTGGCCAAACCAAAACATCCTTGTTATGAGCTCTGTTCCCGAGCCGAAAGTCAAAACACTGCACTGCACCAGATACCAAGAAGGAGAAACATGACTGCTACTGCTGAACCCAGGACAATATGCTATCTCCTAACTGGTTATTAAACTACAAAGGCACCTTGTTTGGAGTGAGAAAAATCGGTTAGGACTTTGAAACTGGAGGAAGCTGTAAAGAAGTCACTGAAAGAAACTATGCTGGAATTTATGCTGTTGAGCATATTTGTAAGTGAGCTAAAATGGGAGATTACTAGGAAATTGGCAAATTTTACTGATTATACTCAATTATACATGATACGCAAAAAGAAACTTTCAATAGTTCTTTCACTACACTGAGCAGAATTCACTAGATCTTTGGCCATCTGAGAAACAGCTCAGTTACCTGGGTGGCAAAGGAAGGCACCCAGACCCACCAGCAACCGAGACATCCTGCCATTAAGAGATGAACATGGCCTGACAAATAGTGTCTTCTGGTGCCCACCTCTCTCCCCAGTATGAAGAAAAACACACCACTGGCTGACTAAATCAGAATAGATATTATAACCTTTATTACAACCTTCAAACAACTCAGTGACTCAGACCCACCCCATTTTAATTGGCAAATAAAGCTCAGTTGTCAATAAATGAGAAAGAATCATAGGAAATAACAACTCCATACTACAGCAACCATCTCTAAACCAGTTACAGGCATTTGGAAAAAAGATGTGAGTAGCCTTACGAGAGCACCAGATCAAGGCTCAGATGTATTCACAGAAATGAGCAGAACGTTATGAATCCTTAGGAAAGGGACTGAGACCAAGAGAGAAAGCACCTTCACCTCTCTGACTAATGCCATGGCATGTTCACGTCCTGAATGTTTCATGAAGCTCTGGATCCTGTTACGAAAAGGATGTAACAATACTGGAAATGCTGTGGAGATGGGTACTAGGATGATCAGGGAAAAGTCAGAGTAGAACTCTCAGCTTAGAAAATGAATGAGTTCTGAAAACACAATGTACCTGTAGAGATCAGAAAATAAAAATTAAAGGAGAAGAATTATTCTTGATGTCTGTCAACCCAAGAAGACAGAATCCAGTGACACTGCTAGACAAAGTGTTCATTAATAAGTACTTTTTCACATACCATGTAGTTACACTGCAGAAGTCATTTCACAGACACATTAGGGACTAACAGATCAAAAAGAAACAGGACAATCCCACAGAGGACAGGACTGTTAGGTGCTACAGCCACAGTGTGCACATAGCATCCAGGCTGGGAAATCCACAAGCTTCTGCCAACAGCTAAAGAAAGTGCTTGCCCTATCGCCTATACTTCTGTTATAAGCATCCTCTGCTGGTTACTGTCAAAGGGAGGACGATGGGCAAAATGGATCTTTGGCGGTGCAGGGCTGTTCTAAAAATGTAACAGACTTCCAAATTAAAAGTAACCACCACTATTGAGAAACGTGGGTTGCTACAATCTCCTGAAGGCGGTCTGGATCAGCATCCACGCTGGCAACAACACTCTGAGAACCACAGTGGAATCACTCATTGGCAGAGACCCTCTTACCAACATTTTGTGCTGGAAGAGGGAAAAGCCCAGGGTGCATAAAAAGGAAAACAGAAATCGGCCACCGGTCACACTTGCCTTTTCTAACACATTACATTTAATGAAAGCTTAAACAAAAGGCAGCTTGCCACAGCTGCCTTATCAAATCCAAATATTGTCTCATTTCTAAAGCAAGCTAGAATGCTGTTTTGATGTTAAGTAGACATGTTCTGATAAAAATCTGAAGTATACCATGTGACTCCATGATTCTCTAGCACAAAACAACCAGCCTTCTGATGTACCAAAAGCCACAGAGATAAGCAGGGGCCCTAAAAGAACAAATTCTACTACAACAGCAAGAATCGGGCTTTGGAAAAGTAGAGAATATAAAGATTCTTCCAAGAAGAACGTAGCACATGAAAGCTGAGGGCCTCCTTACTTTAGATGCTCACATGTGGACTGAAGTTCTAGTTCTTAGCAACAGTTTGGGATTACAGAAACTCTAAATATTTTCTGTCCACTGTTTTTCAGCATTGATTCCCCAGCTTAAGAGAGACAGCAAAATGCCTGTCTGCAACACTGTTTGGGAAATTTATGAGCAGGAACATTACAATTCTGTATAACTCAGCAGACAACGGCTCACAGTTCAGCTTTCACCTACACCAATGAAGACCCAAAACATCACGGATAATCCATGCTGACATTTTGAACCTATTCCAAAGCATAACAGAAAAATAGAAAATATGCAGAAAGGACACACCTGAATACTGTGCTGTTTACAAAGCAGTTTCAGTTGAGGAGAACTCACAAGCTCTAACCCACTCTAAAACGAGTCTTCCACAGCATGACTGTCCAGCCACATTCTCAAATATATTTGTACTTCAGTATCTGAGAATCTGAGGTTAGAAGCCAGGATTTGTTTTCAAAATACTGACTGGCATTCCCACACTTACTTAGCCAAGATGCCCACACTCAAGAACAACTTGATAACTTCAGTGATGCACACAGCCGTCGTTGAAAAGTACAGTTCTGTCCCCACTGTCCTTGTGTACCGCAGCGCGACTGTGTATGTTGCAGCAACCAGGGTCATCACCGTGAGGCAGTACAACTTGAACAGTAAGCTGACATTTTCTGAAAGAAAACAAAGATGACCACTCAGCATGCCCTTCATTTTAACTTAAGGACTGAAACAGGGTGTTCTCCAGCTGGAGCACTGTATGCTACTGTGGCAGCATACAATAATTAGTGTTGTGAAATGCTTCCTATAAACAGTTTAAGTCAAATTTTTAAAGTCCCTTCTCAAAGCAGCTTGTACAGGAACATCAGCTGTTTGAAAATAGGATGTCCTCTTGCCCTCATAATCGTTCTCCATTCTAGAAAACTAATCATAGACTAATATTTATGTAATAGTAATCAAAACCCCTTCCTTTCCTTTCCTGCTCCTTAGGTGACAGTAAAAGCCTCCTCTGACCCTCTCCACGTAGCATATTGAAGTCTGACACAAAGAGCGTTGGCAGACTATTAAAAGCAAAAAGAAAAGTATCAGCAGAGAAGGGATTCAATCTAGCAAATCTTGATAAGTAAAGCAGCATTTCTTTCAGCCTTATTTTCCACCTGAGTTCACAGAAGAGAATTCTGCTCAGGACAGTGGTGGAACTTCACACAAAAGGCTTTCCTGAAAAATTACTGACAATAGAAAACACTGAGGTTATTAGAATCATTAGAGGCTATTAGAATCATTAGAGGCTATTAAAATCACAGAATGGTTAGGGTTGGAAAGGACCTTAAGATCATCGAGTTCCAACCCTCCTGCCACGAAGGGTTATTTACTTACTGAAGTAAATTAAACCATACAATGAGTATGTATCATATGTGTTATCCCCACTATCTTCCCCACTGCTACAATGGAACAACAGTAGCAATCCTTGTAACAGTTTTGCCCCAAATCAACTGCTATCCTGCATAATCTGGGAGTCAGCCTGCCTCAAGCCAGCTGGTGAAAGGCAGTTTTCCACACAGCTGTCCTCCGTGGCTTGAGAGTTCCATTGGGTGAATGTGAACAGTTCAGAGAACAGCTCAGACTGCATCCCTACCGTTAAAAGAGAACAGAGACAACTCCAAACAGGACTGCTCTGCACAAAGGCATGACTTTTGTGACATGAGACATTAGCAAATGGGTAGTGTCTACAAAACCTGGTAAATTGTTATTTATTACATACAGCATCTGATGGCTGGATGTTGGTCACTCAGCAGCATCTTCCAGGCCATTATCTGAATATTCCAAAGAAACATAATTCTAATTGGCATAAATTTATATTCCTGTGATGATTAGGGAATGAGCTAACAGTTAAGCTCCAGGCAGATCTGTAATAACTTTGTTCATTTAATATGGGAATGAATTGCTGAATTCAGTGCAACTGATGTTCAGGTTCACTTTTCTTTCCAGTCAACGATGTCTCTTATTGCATAACATTTCTGCAAGGTACAGTTAATACCTCCTGCTGCTGCCATCGTTTAAATTAGCTACTTCCTTACAGATAAAAATCTCACCCACGTCAGTAACCACTTTTAAAAGGTAGAGCCAATTAGTTTTTGGACTAACAATGCTTAGGAGAGACAAGCTATAATCCTTTTTTAAATTGCATTTGGATCGTGGGGAGGGGTGGTGGGAACACAAGGCCACAAAAGCCAGGAAATAAAGTTAACCCAGCCCAACCTTACAAGAACAGATTTCCTAATGATGTTTTAGTGCTGACAGAAATTATAACAACCTGTTTTTACATGTTAAGATTTTAAGCCTATGCACTACCAAATTAAAACTAAATTTAATCCCTGCCTATGTTAACTACTCTTTGAAAATAAATAAATAAACGAATGTCCCAGTTTGGCAGCAGTTTGTAAACTAAATGCAGCAGGATACAATGAAACTATGATCATGATCACAGAATCAACTCGGTTGGAAAAGACCTGTCAGATCATCAAGTCCAACCACTACCCCAGCACTGCCATGACAAACAGTAAACCATGTCACTAAGGGCCTCATCTACATGGTTTTGAACACTGAAGAATGGTGATTCCACCACTTCCCTAGGCAGCCTGTGCCAATGCCTGACCACCCTTTCAGAGTTCTAGCATTATGTGAAAAGCTGATTGTGGTTGGTTTCTCCAGCCTGGCTCACTTGTCTGTATCAGTACCAATGCAGCGCTGGGGACTGAAGGGAAGCTTAGTTGGGGTACCCATATCTTCTTGCTGGTAAGTCTGAACTTAAACCAGCTTAGAAATTAAAACAAGCTTAAAGTTGAAAGAAGATGCTGTTTTCTTTCTCGGAGTTTCTTTCACTGGCTTCAGTAAATCCCACTCAAATGAAATGGACAGAGGAGGTGGCTGATTTCTTATCAAAGTAACAAGTGACAGAACAACAGCTAACAGCCTCAAACTGCTCCAGGGGAGGTTTAGACTGGAAAAATGCTTCACAGAGAGGGTGATCAGGCACTGGCACCGGCTGCCCAGGGAAGCAGTGGAATCACCATTCCTCAGAGCGTTCAAAACTGTGTATATGAGGCCCTTAGTGACAGGGTTTACTGGTGGTCGTGGCAGTGCTGGGGTAACGGTTGGTCTTTTCCAACCGAGTTGATTCTGTGATTCTATGGAACGATTTCCAGCAAAACGGACCAGACAGGCCAAAAGCCTCAGGACACACATGCGGGCCTCCGACAGGGCTCACACAACCGCTATTGTAAACGGAAGCCCAAGGCACGGGGGGCACACACAGCGTGCGGCCGGCCGGGCGGTGGCATCTCACACCCGGCCCTACATACGCTGCGAACAAACCCTCCTACTCCTGGCCCCTGTCCTCCCGGGGTTCCCCTCTCCTTTGAGTCTGCTGCTGGGATCTGCGGCGCCCTGAGCAAGGCCCCGCATGAGGGTGGCAAGCAGAGGCTCAGGCAACGACTTCCTTCAGCATTTAAGCCCACCCTGCCTGCCCCAGGGCTGCGGGAGAGCCGGGGTTCTGGCACCGCCGCCCACACTCCAGCGCACCCCAGGGGCCGGCGGTGGCTTCAGTGACCTGCAGGGAGGGTGCCGAGGAGCGGCGGGGTCTGTCTCCACACCACCACCAGCGCCCCGGGCTAAGCCCCGAAAGCGATGCTCTTTCACCATGTTCAAACACCCCCAGAGCAGGTACCGGCCCACAGAGGCACCGTTGCCCTTAGGGCCACCTTCAGCCGCTGCCGGCTCCGGGGCGGCGGCGCCATCGGCGGCCCAGCGAGTCCCGGCGGCCCGTTGCCCCGCCGGACGGCGGCTCACACACACCGGAGCGGGAGAGGCGGCGGCTCCGCCACGCAGCCCCGCCGGCAGCCGGCGGACAGCGAGAGGGCGGGAAGGGAGGCGTGGGGGGAGAGCGCCCCTCCCCGCCAAGGTCCCCCAGAGCCCCTCTCCCCCCCGTTCCCGCGGTGGTGGCGCCCGGCGCCGCAACCTCCGGCAGGGAGGATGGTTCCACTCGCCCTGCGCCGGGGAGAGCCGCTGGCTCGCGGGTCCCGCTTCATCTTGGGTGGGGGCGGGATTGCCCCCCCTCTATGTCCGCACCTCCCTCCGAGAGCCACGGTTCCCCCTGACTGACCAGCGCCTCCGCCCTCACCTTTCGGCGACGACATCGTGCCCGCCGAAGGCGCCAAACTGGCCGGGCCAGAGCCGTCCGCCGTGCCTCGCCGCTCCTCCCATTACACCATAGAGTGCAGCGCCGCCGCCGCCGCCTAGAGCGCCCCGCCTCCCTCCCTCTCTTCACCATCGAGTCAGCGGCCCTTCCGCGCGGATAGTCTTCCCCCCACCCCAAGCCTTGCCAGGGAGGCGGAGGGTTGTGGGTGGGGCGCCCCCTGGCGGACGGTGGGTGTCTTCCCGCCGGCCGGGAGGGTTACCCTCCGCTTTTACCGAATTTAGCCTTTCCACGTGGAACAAACCCGGGGAGCTGGTCGGAAGGTACCCCCAAGCTCATCTCGGAGCAGCGCCGCCTGCCCACGGTGGTTGCCGGGCCCCGGGAGGGGCGAAGTTGTGGGGGCATCGCCAAAGGGCGAGGTGAGGGGCGGACGGGGCAGCAGCTTTGCTGCCGCAGCACGAACCTCGATTCAGAGGGTGAGGAGACCCGAAGGGCTTGGAAACGGCGCCGCGTTCAGTGTGTGCAGCGATGCGGGCAGTCATACACCGCCGGGTGGTATTAGTGACCGTATGGGTGCGTGCGGACTGCACAGCAATGCTTAAGGAAGCCGAGGGGTACGCTGCGGTCCGTATCTCCTGCTGGCTGTGTGATGTGTCAGTCTTGTATCCCCCGAACAGCAGCACCTGAAAAGGATGAAAAACCCAAACCCAGCTGTGAAGGGTGGTAGTGCTGATGGGGAAGTAGCAGGAACTTGTGCCAGAAACAAAGGCGGAGGTGGGACTATCCCATTCAGTGCCACCTGCGTGAAGTTCAGTTCAGCCTGTTCAGGAAATAACACCTCCCCTGTTTCTTAATCACTGCGGAGCTCAAGCAGGAGCTACTTTAACGCTGTTCACCAAAACAAGCCATGCGTTGAGTTTTGGTCTTCTGTGTTTTCCATTGGCAACTGGATTTTAGATGTCTGCATTTAACTTCCACGTACAACGAGTAGTCTGTGTAGTCCTTTTGTATTCCATTTTCTGATCAGAACCTCAGTACTTAAGAGTAGGGTTAATAACATTGTACAGTAGCAAAGAGGAGTCAGGGCAGGAATGGCTTTAAATTGACAGAGGGTAGATTTAGATTAGGTATTAGGAAGAAATTCTTCCCTGTGAGGGTGCTGAGGCACTGGTACAGGTTGCCCAGAGAAGCTGTGGATGCCCCATCCCTGGCAGTGTTCAAGGCCAGGTTGGACGGAGCTTGGCTTTGGGCAACCTGGTCTAGTGGAAGGTTTCCCTGCCCAGGGCAGAAGGTTGAAACTGGATGAGCTTTAAGGTCCCTTCCAACCTAAACCATTCTGTGATTCTACAAAGAATAAAACCTGGTAAGTGCAAATGTGTCACTTTGTTTCCAAACCCCAGACCATGAGTCTGTGCACCGCATGTGTATGGTCTTGTCCTCACGAGTACACTCACCTGTGCATCAGCAGAACCAGATTAAACAAAAACCAAACCCAAGTTCCAGTGGGCATCAGCTGAACTTTGTCTCCCCTTTCACATGACTGAAGCATTTTGAAAAGTAACCTCTCCCTTTTTTCTGAACTATTGAATTGTTGTACTATTTTATTGGCAGTAAACACCCACGAGTTCACACACACATTTCTCATAGCCGGGAGTAAGTTCATAGTTAACCAACATGTTTCTGCCATGCCAAAACCAAGATGTAGATTACAATTGTATTCACCAGTATTTTAAAACATTGTAGTATCTTCTCCAGTGAAAAGAACAAGCAGAATAAAAGGTTTTCTTTACAATAAATGTATGTATGGACTCTTGAGATACCAGCTTGTTGGTTCAAAATAAGAACTTTAACATGAAAGGTTCAAAATAAATTATGATAAAAAAATACAGATGTAGCAACAAAAAGTATTTAATAAAGCAGCAATAGGGTATTTTTTTCTTGATGTAGAAGAAGCTGCAGCTGCTAATAGCATTCATATTTTTAATAATAAAACTGAAAACTGGTGCCAGTTCATAATTTAAAAACATGGAAGAGCAGCACATCTGTCTGCTAATGCTCAGTTTATTTTCACATAAGAGAAAACCACATAGTGGAAAACCATTTAGCTAAGTTCTTTCTGTGCTCCTCTCCTTGGAAACAGATAAACAAAAGGAGAATGTTGTCATGGACAATGCCACAGGAGAGTCACCCAGCAGCTTGGATCTTCAAGCTTCATTGTACAGGCTTGTGTAACAATGGAAACCACACCACACCACGCTGCACCTGACTGAAAAAGAGATTTGGAAACCTTAGCACATTGTGTGCCATCACAGATGCACACTTCGACATTTTGCAGATAACAGCTTCTGGAGCTGTTTGTTGTTGTGAAAAGCATCTCTGTTTTAAAGTATCCCCTACTTGCATTTGAGATGTTTCATCTTGAAGCTCATGATTCACAAACAGAAATACTAGCTGCAGTTGCTTTGATAAGACCTGGCATATATTTCCCTGCCACAACAAAATAAAGCTGAAAACCTTTTCCTGTTGTGCTTTAGCTTTTCAAACATAAGTGAAACAGAGCTTTTGAAAAGGTGCCCTGGAGATAAGGTCCATGGTTTCAGCGTGCTCACCAGCACACTGTTTAGTTGATGAATACAGAAATTGCTAGAGACCTAAAAGGCTGCCAGAGCCATGGGAAGTAAATTTTCTCTTCCCTGCCTCCCTGCCTTGGCCTACACTTGTGATGCCTATTACCCTGCAGAAACACTTGGGTTAATGAATGGAGAGGCCCAAGGACTGAGAGTGATTTACTTTTGCTGGTTTTACTTTCTTGACAGTTCTGCTGTAAGGGTGGAGCTGTGACATTCAGGTGACTCTCGTCATACCAGTTTTATTTCATAGAATCACAGAATGGTTTGGGTTGGAAGGGACCTTACAGCACATATAGTTCCAAACCCCTGACATGGGCAGGGACACCTTCCATTAGACCAGGTTACTCAAAGCTCCATCCAACCTGGCCTTGAACACTGCCAGGGATGGGGCAGCCCCAGCTTCTCTGGGCAACCTGTGCCAGTGCCTCACTGCCCTCATAGTGAAGAATTTCTTCCTAATATCTAATCTAAATCTACCCTCTTTCAGTTTAAAGCCATTCCCCCTTGTCCTGTCATTACATGTCCTTGTAAAAAGTCCCCCTCCAGCTTTCTTATAGGCCCCCTTTAAGCACGGAAGCTGCAATAAGGTCTCACTGGAGCCTTCTCTTCTCCAAGCTGAACAAGCCCAAGTCTCTCAGCCTGTCTCCAAAGGAGGGTTGATCCAGCCGCCTGAGCATCTTTGTGGCCTCCTCTGGACTTGCTCTAGCAGGTCCACATGCCTCCTATGTTGGGGGATCCAGAGCTGGATGCAGTACTGCAGGTGGGGTTGCACAAAAGCAGTGGGGCAGGACTACCTCCCTTGACCAGGTCATGCTCCTGTTGATGCAGCTCAGGACACAGTTGGCTTTGTGGGCTGCAAGTGCACACTGCTGGGTCACATTAAACTTTTCATGAACCAACACCCCCAAGACCTTCTCCATGATGCTGCTCTCATTTCACACCAACGGGAATTATGCCTCCACAGGAGCTGCAGCATTGCCTCTGTATCTCATAAAAGCTACTTGTCTTACATTATTCTTTCCATGTACCAAAGACACGGCTGTCAGCGGCAGTGTTTCAGCAGGCAATCGTTGTATTAAAACCTCAAGAAAATCTAAGAACACACACTACACATTTAAATATTAGTTTATGCTAAAATCTTTAGGAACATCTTGATTCTAAATTGCTGTTTAAAATGTGGGTGCTTCAAGCTTGTAATGTCTATCGCTTGATGCCAGTCAGCAGCCCCAGCAGATAAGATAAATGAAATAAATCAACTGCTCCTGGAATCAACAGACACAGTAAAATCTTTATCATATTTCAGATATATGCAGGGAATTTTATTTATACATTCAATATACATCTTCAGATTTCTCATTTTCACTTAGGTTTCATCTACTGCTCTTGTTAAGTTTCCTTTGACCATATGAGTAGTAGGAGACAATTGTCCTCGGAGACCTTCCAGGAAAATCTGTGGTCTGGGTACATTACTTGAGTTGTCACGCTTAGTCTGGGTGCTAACATCTTTTGGCAAGTACAGTTGGGTGCAGTTCTGTCTTCTCATATTGCTGAGATCAGTCTGCATGGCATGAGTTAATTTGCGGCGCAAATTAGCCTAAAGACACAAAAAGTAGCAGATTAAGCAAAATCTGCTTTGGCATTTTAGCACTAATATACTTTAGGTGTGTTTGTATATTTTACATCTCCAGGCTTCCCAAACCTGGAACACGGTCCACTGCCAATACACAGTTGCAACTGTGATTTGATAACTCCTGAACTAGCAGGGTGTGTGAGCAGCACACATGTATGTATGTACCCACACAATTTTAAGCCAGCCTCTTACGGCTTTCCTATTTTCCTTTAGTCATTTTGCTTCATATTTTGTTAAATGCTGAAGCCTTTGTTTCGTTACAATAAAGTACTGGTTTCATGATAAGCTCTTCAGTACTTCAAATTAAATTCAATAGGTCTGAAAGCACCCTGACCACGATGTCAGGTTTGGATAAGTCCCTCTAGGTATCTGCAATCAGGGTGCACAATATTATGGATAAGCCAGCTGTGGGATCAAGTCTTTTGGTTTCTACCAAGTGCGATGGGGTTTGGGGGTTGGTGTCACTAAGTATCAGATAAAAGGGAAAAATGCCTTCTTTCAAGATATTGCTCTTTAATCCCTTGGCAAGGGGCAAAAGTTAAGATAATTTATGATTAAAGTTCTGTTTAATCACAGAAACTGCTGTATATGCAACAACAAAAAGCACTTCTCATAATGTTAATATTACAAAGTCAACACTTGAAACAACAAAATGTTCCTTAGTCCAATGAGCCTTCTATGTCAGCAGATGTACACACTGTAAAACTTATGACATAATGTTGTAATCAAAATACAAAAATACAGTCTTGTGGCAGGATCCAGGCCCCTGCATGTGAGTGAGAAAGACCCTGGAGTCCAGTCCAGTCAGCAGAGACTGGAGTCAGTGGAAGCGGGAGAGTGATTAAGTTGGCCTAATTCAGTGTTTGTATTGGGATGAGTCAAA